GTTTACCCAATAAATAATAAATTAATGTGATACTGTTTATGCAGGTTGTGATTTTATAGTAAGTGCTATTCAGTGTTTTGTCACTGTGTAAAAGGTAAAATTGGTATTTCTTGAGACTTCATTTATTTGGTAACTGCTTTCATTTAGTCATTATTTCATTTATTTACAGCCCCTACATGTCCATCACTGTAATAGGCACTTGAGATGCTCCCGCAAATGACATCCCTGGCCCAGAGAAGTTGGGGACATTTTATATCCAGAATACCTGTATCGCCAGATGTGCACTAGTTACAATGGGTTATGTGACTTGTTAAAACATCCCAGGAATAAAGGTTAAGTCTAAGCAAGTAGATGAATTTAAGCCCCAAGCCCCCACCCCCCGCCCCGCTCCCTTTTTTGTTTTTGTTTTTGTTTTTTTTTTTTTTGAGACAGGATCTTTTGTTGTTCATCTGGGCTGGAGTGCAGTGGCATGATTAAGGCTTACTGCAGTCTGTCTCCTGAGGTCAAGCAGTCGCCCACTTCAGCCTCCAGAGTAGCTGGAACCACAGATGCATGCCAGTGCCTGGCTGTTTTTGTTTTGTTTTGTTAAGACAGGGTGTTGTCATTTTGCCTGGCTGGTCTCAAACTGGGCTCAAGCAGTCCTCCCACGTTGGCCTCCCAGTGTTGGGATTACAGGCTTAAGCCACCGCACCCAGCCCTTTTTTTAACCTACTTCTAACAGTCTTAAAAGTAGACAAGATGAATATCCAAGGAGCATGAGCTTTCATACATACCATCCTAGTTCTAGGTGGCATGAGAGTTGCAGCCCAAATCTTACGGAGCGAGTGACTGGGAGGAAACCCCATGGGTCTCCCTTGTCAGCCACGAATACCTAAGAAAATGCTATTCTCTCAGGCCCATCCCCCAGGCAGTGTATCAATGAATACATATGTAAAGTGTATGTCAGGAAATCATACCAGATACTGAGTATCCAAAATCGTAAGTAGCCTTAGGGTGGCAGGCAGACACAATAATTACAACATAGAGGGACAAGTGCCATAGAAACAGGTAAGGTTGGAAGTATTAGATTTAGGGTCTTGGCCTTAGAGAAGGGTTTAATGAAATTATTTGATCCAGGTTAAGAACCTGGAAGCCAGTATGATGGTCAAATTTATTACCTCTAGTCCGTCTTCATACTTTCCCATCCCAAGAATTATTAGTTGGGTTCCCCCTAACATTTTCTCTCCCTTTTCAAAAGCCCCAAGTAGTAGTACTACTACTTTTGGGGAACAGGAGATACGAACACTTAACTAAGTAGGGGGGTCCAAAGCAGTCCTTAAACCGAAGTTCAGCATTCCAAATTTTAGCAGCTGCTAGGGAAATATATTTGCTCTCTTGTATTACTGACAGTTGTAATTACATAGGAAATCTTCAAAAGGAAGTAATTTGGATAATACCAAAACATTATTTCCCTTTAATACAGATAACCCATATTTTCCCAGTTGAAATGATGCTTTTAACTTCCTGCCTGCTCCGTTCCTTCAAAGTCGATTCAAAACATTTATGGTCACCTAGCAATGGTTCAATTCAGTCCAAGTGCTTGGAAAACTTGATTACAGGCATGGACCCATTCCCCAGGAAAGTACCTCTGGAAACCTGTACAGACTCCAGAATTTAAAAAGTCCCAAATCTCTTTTTCAAAAAGGTATGAGTAAAAGGATCTGATACCATTGTACACATCCTTGCTCCATGCTGCTATTGCCAGAGGATAAAAAAATTTGAGGTGGGACATACTCAGCAATTTCCAGTTGGATTCCCAGTTGAGTATTTTGCAAAAAAAAGCATTAATGAATGAATGACATTTTTAAAAACATTTAAGTATATCCAATCCCACGTACTGTACAAACTAGCTTAGAACAGTGGCATATGTAACTGATATAAAGGAAATAAGCGTAACAATTTTTCTTTTAGTTCCTACATGAACTTTCTAATACTCCCATCACTGAAGTTTACATGTTTTCATCAAGGGTTTTAGAGATACACAAAAGAAGTATCAAAGTCACATTTAATAAAGTTCCTTCCAGTTTATAATGTATAATCATACTATTTAAACACGCAGAAATGAGCTAATCCGAATTTATATAGTTTTTTGGGTGGGAAAAAACATTTATCTCACCTTTACTAGAGGAAACAGACTTTATGATGGTTCTATTTTTCAACTTTAGAATTACTCATTCAGTAGAAGCTGTACTTCAAGTACCCAACCATTCTGTTTTTCACTTTCAATGTAATCTTCAAAAATTATGTGAGACATTCAACATACTTTATTAAAAAATAGGCTCTGTATTAGACGATTTTGCCCAAGTGTAGGCTAATGTAGTGTTCGGAGCACTTTTAAGGTAGGCTAAGCTGTGATGTTCGACGTTTGGTATTTTCAACTCACAATGGGCTTATCTGGACATAAACCCATCGTAAGTTGAGAAGCATCTGTATACCCAACACTGGTTATGTATACTTTCATTAAATACTCATTTGAAAAATAAAACTTTCTTCACATCAACCCTGTGATGTAGGTCTTTAATTTTTAAAACTGCAAAACGGGTTCCAAGATGAGCTCTTACTGATGTATACGGTGTAGTACAGTATAGCCAAAACCACTGCTTATGACCTCTCAAATATTCACACATCAAGGCCAGGCACAGTGGCTTATGCCTGTAATCCCAGCACTTTGGGAGGCCGAGGTGGATGGATCATTTGAGGTCAGGAGTTCGAGACCAGCCTGGTCAACATGGTGAAACCCCATCTCTACCAAAAATACAAAATATTAGCCAAGCATGGTGGTGGACACCTGTAGTCCCACCTACTAGGGAGGCTGAGGCAGGAGGATCACTTGAACCCAGGAAGTAGAGGCTGCAGTAAGCTGAGATCGCACCACTGAACTCCAGCCTGGGTGACAAAGTGAGACCCTGTCCCCCAACAAATATTTACACATCACCCAGTAGTAAGGAAGGGTTATCATTCAGAGAGGTTTTTCTGAGATAATCTATTAAATTACAATTATAAAGAAGAAATGTTTATAAATTTTTATGAAGTTATAAATTTATAAATATAAAAGTATAAATTCATATAGAGCTGTTTTAACTTCTTGTTTAAAGAAGTTTCCCTCTGAGGATTACAGACTATGTAATCTGCTACATGTAATTTCAGATAAATGATAAATTATACCTAATGTGTAAGTATAATAGAATCAATTTTTGATATTTAAATTATTCTAAAACCTGTTGAGTGTGAATACTCTTAAATCTTTCTTTTCTGTTTATGCTTCTGGCTGAGAATGGAAGAAGGGACAGAGGCTTCAAATGACTGAAATTCTTCAGGTGGTTTCTTGTGACCGACCCCTCATAAAGTATTTTTCTCCAGAGTCCAAAGGCAAGATAAAAAGTCTCTGACTTGAAATCAGAATCGATCTGCTGATCTGCTAGCCACAGCTCGAATATTGCCATAAACCTTGGAAGGAGGATTTCCTGCAAAGGGGGAAAAAAGTATTTACACAAATAGACTCACATTTATAGAGCCTACAGTCGCCCCTCAGTGTCTAAGGAAGACTGGTTTCAGGACTCCCACAGACACCACAATCCTTGAATGCTCAAGTCTCTTATATAAAAAATATGCACATTAACTACACACATCCTCCCATATACTTTGAATCATCTCTAGATTATTTATAATACCTAATACAATGTAAATGCTATGTAAATAGTTAATACTGTATTGTGTTTTAAAATTTGTATTATTTTTAATTTGCCGTATTTTTATATGTATTTTTCTGAGTATCTGATCTGCCATTGGTTCAGTCCACAGATGTGGACCTTGCAGACACAGAGGGCAGACTGTGACATGAAAAAGGGTCTAGAACCCTAGAAAGAACAGAGACATTTTCTTGAAATTACCAAAAAAAAAAAACCTTACAGGAAATAATACCCAAATATTCTCCAAAAAATATTTTAAACTTCTAAGAGTGAAAGGCACTGTGTTGTTAAAATATTTCAAAAAGAAGCCAATCACTGAGGCCTGGGAACCAGAGAATCCCAATTTTCTGAGCAAGCCGCTAAGATCCTGTAACTCTTATCAGAAGGTAACTGACTGTGCTGCAGGATCAAAAAAATGGGTTAAGTGGATCAATTAAATTAACTGAAGCTGTTCAGCAGCTCCTCCTTGGTTGAACCTAAAATGTGATGTTCCCTGCTATTCTGGAATGGTTTTTCTCTGCACCTTATCAGGAAGGCAGCAAAGATTTAAGCAATATTACCCAATAAACACTTTCTCTTCTCTTGCAGACAAATGGAATCTAAGCAAAAATATTTCTACTTCTGGCTGGGTGCGGTGGCTCACACCTGTAATCCCAGCACTCTGGGAGGCTGAAGTGGGCGGATCACAAGGTCAGGAGTCCCACACCAGCCTGGCCAATATGGTGAAACCCCGTCTCTACTAAAAATACAAAAATTAGCCGGGCGTGGTGGCATACACCTTTAGTCTCAGCTACTCAAGAGTCTGAGGCAGGAGAATCGCTTGAACTTGGGAGGCAGAGGTTGCAGTGAGCCAAGATCACGCCACTGCACTCCAACCTAGGCAACACAGTGAGACTCAGGCTAAAAAAAAAAAAAAAAATTCTACTTCCTTCTCTAGGCCCACCTTTGCCAACTCCCAAGGGTTTCTACTTGCTAACTTTAATATTACCCCAAATTGCTTTGCAAATGTAGTTTTGACTTCCGCAATTAACTCCCTATCCCTCCCAGAGAAAACACCAAAGAAAGAAACTGCTATTACCCAAGATTAGGTTGCAAATGGCAGTTCTTGCCATCTTGATGTTTTGGAAGGAGCCAAGGATGTGAACTTTCCTGAAAGAAATAAAATGAGACAAATTAGTGGCTGGGATGCAATGACTCACACCTGTAATCCCAGCACTTTGGGAGGCCAAGGCAGGTAGATGGTTTGTGGCCAGGAGTTTGAGACAAGCCTGGACAGCATAATGAGACCCCCATCTCTACAAAAAAAATTCAACAGCTGGGTGTAGTAGCACGTGCCTGTAGAGTGCCAGCATGCCAACCTGAGTGACCAAAACCCTCTCTTAAAAAAAAAAAAAAAAGACATTGTAAACAAAAAAGCACTTTCTTGCCTAAGTCCTGTACTCCAAAAATGCTGGAAAATCACATTTGAGTCAGATTCTTTAACGAGGGCAGTGGTTATGGCTGCACAACTCCACAAATATACTAAAAACCACTTTTTAAAAGGGTGAATTTTATGATATATAAATTGTATACCAATAAAAAATTATTAGACAGAATTTTTTGAAAAAGTAAAGTTTGTGAAGATTATTCGTTAATGATGGCTCCCATCCCATGAATGCTTTATGTGCCAGGGCTTTCTATACATGCCCTCATTTAATCCTCACATGACCTTCCTGTTTTACAGATGAGGAAAGAAGTTTATAAGAAATCAAAAAGCCTGCCCAAGACGACACACTGGCTGAGCTGGTTACTGAAAACCCATAAATGCAACACTGTACTCAATGTCAACATAATTGGTTTTCAACTGCAAAGTTTTCTAAAGATTATCTAAATTTCTTCAGGGCTCTGAGGATCATTTAGACCCTTTTAATAGGCATTCTTTACCGAATGACAAATTTGCCTTTTTGAGTCCATCTTCCAAACTGTTTTCACTGTGCCCTGTACAACAGTTATCAGCTAAAGCTTCTGTATCTTCAACCCCTGTTAATATTCCCTTCACCTTCTGGCTTTAACTAAGGCCAGATCTCAAATGGTTGCGTTTTTCCTCCACAAACCAGGTACCTCTGGGGCCTGGGGAGGAGCAGGTGCCTTCATGCCACATCCAGACCACATGCTCTCCCTCCTACCTCCCTGAAAACCCTTTGGCTTTGGATCCGCTCTCAGGCCACATCACCCCCCACCCTGCCTGGCTGGGGTCCTCAGCTGCCCCTGCAGATCACCTGTGAAGACGTCAGCTCCTGGCTTGCTGTCTTTCTCTTGCTATTCCCATCTCCATGCTCGATCATGTCAATACCCACGAAGATGATAATCCCAACATGCCAGCCTCTGAGGTCCTTGATACACTCTTTATGCCAACACGGGGTATTGTCCACCCTACTCCAGCCTCTTACATCCATGGTCACACCCTGGACTTAGTCATTACCAAAAACTGCAACCCCCTATAATTTCGATTTCAAACATCCAACTCTCCCTCCACCACTTTCTGTCATTCCAGCTCCTATCAACACAAATAATCCTTCACTCCCACCCCAGGACCTCCCATCTATGGATCCTACCCACCTTCACTGCCCCTCGCCCCCTCATATCCCACCTCCTTCCTCTGCTCACAATCATCCAATGACTTTCTATTCACTCAGAGTAAAAGCCAAAGTCCTTATGAGGACCTCAAGGCCCTATTATTTTTGACCTCATCTATCACTCTCCACTCTCTCCCTTTCGTCCTTGGCCAAGCCTCCTCGCTCACTGCCAGATGTGCCCTCGACTTAAGATCTTTGTGCTTTCCCCTTCCTCTGTAATGCTCTTTCTCCAGCCACCTGCAGATGAACAAAACAAACATTTACAAATGCTCCTCCCCAAACTCCACTAAAATGACAATAAAGATATAAGCCCAAAAGGAAGAAGAGAGTGATAACAGTAGCAAAGTCCAGAAAGGTGTAAAGCAGATGGAGGAGACGGAACTGACTGTGCAGACCCAAGTCAACTGCTGCCTGAATCAGCAGCGGGAATATCAAGAAGCAGAACTCCGGGAAAGAGACTCCAAGAGGCAGGGGACAGGGAACCCAGGATGATGGCTGTGCAGCCAGAATGCAGGCAGAGAGCAGGGGGGCGTTTGGGGAATAGACCTCTCCAGGAGAGATTTCTCAAATATTAGATGCATTCAAATACATCAAGAGGAGATACAACGTATAGCTTCTTACTGAATTAGTAGGATGAAAGAGAAGAAAGGAGATAGACACAAAAGAGTTACTTCCTTAAGTGAAAACAATGCTGCAAAACAAAGATAAGGCAGTCACAGTATTTCACCTGGTTCTTCACCTGGCTCAGCTATAAGTACACTGAGCACTGATTTGTTTTCAGGTAATACTGAACATTATCTAACAAAAACCACAAGGGGACCATCAGGAGGACAAAGAAGAATAAATCGGAGTGTCAGAAAGGCTGAGTGTACGTGGTGGAAGTAAGGGAGTGAAAGACAGCTAAACCTTCATCTTTGATGGTAGAATGTCAATAGTGAATCTGAAAAATAAAACTGTATATGAACTGTATGAACAAAATATCTGGAAATACAGAGGTAAATAATTTTTTAAGATAAGCTAAAAGAGTTGAAATTGGTTCCCCTGAAAAGGGTGAAATGGAGGTAGGCAGCAGACATTTTTGTTTTTTTTCTTTTTTGAGACAGAGTCTCACTCTGTCGCCCAGGCTGGAGTGCAGTGGAGCGATCTCAGCTCACTGCAAGCTCTGCCTCCCAGGTTCATGCCATCCTCCTGCCTCAGCCTCCCGAGCAGCTGGGACTACAGGCTCCCGCTACCACACCTGGCTAATTCTTTGTACTTTTAGTAGAGACGGGGTTTCACAGTGTTAGCCAGGATGGTCTCGATCTCCTGACCTCGTGATCCGCCTGCCTCGGCCTCTCAAAGTGCTGGGATTACAGGCGTGAGCCACAGCGCCCGGCCAATTTTTGGCTTTTTAAAACTATGTGTATGTTTAACTTTGATTAAAATTATTTAAAACAGAGCATGACAGATGAGGAAATAAAGACGAAAAGAATAGATAAAGTGGGAGTAGTTTTGCTGCAGAAAGAACCAAAGTAATGGGGCAACAGTTGGAAAGGAATGGAGGCTTCAAGACACAGAGGAAACATCATTTCCCATCTGCTATATTAAATATACCTGGAACCAATTGTTTTTAGTTTTCTATCTGGCTCGCATTATACTGTATTTTATCAGGTTATTAGCAACTCATCAAAAATAACTTTTATAGGTACATAACAGCCCATCTTACAGCTTTATTATAATTAATATAAACTTTTAAACGTGGATTTCCAACTAGCCTGTCTATAGCAAAAGCAAGAGATAGTACATCTCTTAATTTCAAGTAGTCTGTAATTTAGTTTGTAAGAAAACACAAAAGACGTAAGTAATTCAGTAGCGACATTATTCATAACAACCACAAACTGAAAACAACCCAAATGTCCATCTACTGTGACTGAACAAACAAAATATAATACAGCTGACTTTTGAATAATAGATTTGAACTGCACGGGTCGTTACACACAAACTTTTTTCAACACATATATTGGAAGATATTTTAGAGACTTGAAAAAAACCCAGAGAGGAGCTGAGTATTGTAGAAATGTAAAAAAAAAAAAAAAAAAAAAAAAATTAGAAAAGCTATGTCATGAATGCATAAATTATATGTAGATACTAGTCTATCTTATTTACTACCATAAAAAAAGTTAAAATCAATCAAAACTTACACACACAAACACAAGCCATGTATGGTGCCATTTGTAGTCAACAGAAACGGAAACAAATGCAAAGATGCAGTATTAAATCATAACTCCATAAAATTATCTGTAGTGCATACTGTACGACAATTTCACAGCTTCCACCTACTGCTCTTGTGGTGAGCTCAGGTGTTGCAAGTATCCACTTAGAATGCCATGTGATGCTGATCATCTCCCATGAGCAGTTTTGACTCTCCAATAAATTGTCTCTCACAGTAGAAAGTGATCTCTCACAGTTCTTGCCTATTTTTAAACTTAGTGCATACTGCAAGCTTTGAGACCATGTGACCTACACAACGTGGACCCCACACAAAGTGCCACTCGTGATGTTGGGAGTGCTCCAAAGAAGCACAGAAAAGTCGTGACACCTCAAGAAAAAGCTGAACTGGCCAAGTGCGATGGCTCACGCCTGTAATCCCAGCACTTTGGGAGGCTGAGGCGGGTGGATCATGAGGTCAGGAGATTGAGACCATCCTGGCTAACACAGCGAAACCCCGTCTCTACTAAAAATACAAAAAATTTAGCCAGGCATGATGGCACACGCCTATAGTCGCAGCTACTTGGGAGGCTGAGGCAGGAGAATCCATTGAACCCAGGAGGCAGAGGTTGCAGTGAGCCGATATTGCACCATTGCACTCCAGCCTTGGCGAGAGAGGGAGATTCCATCTCAAAAAAAAAAAAAAAAAAAAAAAAGAAAAGCTGAATTGCTTGACATGTACTGTTGACTGAGGCCTGCAGCTGCAGCTGCCCGCCACTTCAAGATAAATGACTATACCATAGGACCCATTGTAAAAAAAGAAAAAATTCATGGAGGTGTCACTGCAGCTACAACAGCAGATGTGACAACACCTGCAGTTTTGCCAAATACCCCTTTATCTTCCCCTAGGCCCCCAGGCAAGACAGAACAGACTATGGCAATAAGACACCAAATTGTAAACAAGACCTAAGACCACCCGGGCAAGGGTTGTCACACACCCTACATTTAAAGAGTAAATGACTGTCTTCTTTTGAGAAATGTCTGTTCATATCCTTTGCCCACTTTTTGATGGGGTTGTTTTTTTCTTGTAAATTTGTTTGAGTTCTTTGTAGGTTCTGGATATTAGCCCTTTGTCAGATGAGTAGATTGCAAAAATTTTCTCCCATTCTGTAGGTTGCCTGTTCACTCTTAGGGTAGTTTCTTTTGCTGTGCAGAAGCTCTTTAGTTTAATGAGATCTCATTTGTCAATTCTGGCTTTTGCTGCCATTGCTTTTGGTGTTTTAGACATGAAGTCTTTGCCCATGCCTATGTCCTGAATGGTACTACCTAGGTTTTCCTCTAGGATTTTTATGGTATTAGGTCTAACATTTAAGTCTCTAATCCATCTTGAATTAATTTTCGTATAAGGAGTAAGGAAAGGATCCAGTTTCAGCTTTCTACTTATGGCTAGCCAATTTTCCCAGCACCATTTATTAAATAGGGAATCCTTTCCCCATTTCTTGTTTCTCTCAGGTTTGTCAAAGATCAGATGGCTGTAGATGTGTGGTATTCATACAGCCAACAGACACATGAAAAAATGCTCATCATCACTGGCCATCAGAGAAATGCAAATCAAAACCACAATGAGATACCATCTCACACCAGTTAGAATGGCGATCATTAAAAAGTCAGGAAACAACAGGTGCTGGAGAGGATGTGGAGAAATAGGAACACTTTTACACTGTTGGTGGGATTGTAAACTAGTTCAACCATTATGGAAAACAGTATGGCGATTCCTCAAGGATCTAGAACTAGATGTACCATACGACCCAGCCATCCCATTACTGGGTATATACCCAAAGGATTATAAATTATGCTGCTATAAAGACACATGCACACGTATGTTTATTGCAGCACTATTCACAATAGCAAAGACTTGGAATCAACCCAAATGTCCATCAGTGACAGACTGGATTAAGAAAATGTGGCACATATACACCATGGAATACTATGCAGCCATAAAAAAGGATGAGTTCGTGTCCTTTGTAGGGACATGGATGCAGCTGGAAACCATCATTCTTAGCAAACTATCACAAGAACAGAAAACCAAACACTGCATGTTCTCACTCATAGGTGGGAACTGAACAATGAGATCACTTGGACTCGGGAAGGGGAACATCACACACCGGGGCCTATCATGGGGAGGGGGGAGGAGGGAGGGATTGCACTGGGAGTTATACCTGATGTAAATGACGAGTTGATGGGTGCTGACGAGTTGATGGGTGCAGCACAGCAAAATGGCACAAGTATACATATATAACAAACCTGCACGTTATGCACGTGTACCCTAGAACTTAAAGTATAATAATAATAAAAAATAAATAAATAAATAAAAGAAAAAAAAAAGAGTAAATGACATTCTAACTGCCACAGGATATTTTTTTCTCTAGCAGCTTAACAAGCACTGGCCTTATGATAAACAATATTAAAACAATTACAGCTCACCAATAGTTAGATACAGATTGACCCCAGCTTCCCTGTTCCCACACTCTGTTCCACAAACCGTAACTACAGCTTTGATTGGACAAGAGACTGATCCCAGTAACATTCTCCTGATAAGAGATCACTGACCATGGACTGGTTCTACCAGCTTCCATAGGCAGTGCATTCAGTCTTCACCTCCTTGTCCCTACTTCATCTTGTAACGTACAGGACCTAACTGTCACATATTTTAAATGTTAAATCTCCCCCACAAAGCAACCAGGGGTCGTATGTTACATTTATTCAGTATACAAGCATTACAACCCCTCTTATATTCATAGCTCCTCCTATAACCTGTTAAATAAGTATACTGGCCAACCCATTCAGCATAAATTCCTGTCTCATTCTTTCCTCCTTCAAAGTGCCTGCTTTTGGTCTCTGCTGAAGGGTATACTTCCCAGCCTGTCAGAATGGCCACCCTGCAGAATGCAACCCTTTATAAGAAATAAAGTTTCCTCTCCAAATTTATAGATCTTGTGATTCTTTTGTTGACAATCTCAAATTGGAAATGCAGCTTTTATGTGGGTGCA